AAATAATAAATAAAATTTCTTTCTTTCAATATTTTGAGTACTATGGTAGAATTAAGCTGTAAATAGTAAGTTTATGCTTTTTTTTTTTTCATAGATAATATACCCCTATGCTCTATTCTAACCATTTCAAATTGTTTAATATGTATATGTCATTCTCAAGTTGACATTAGTTTAATTCACAAGAGTTGTGATAGATAATTTACTTAAATATAAATGTAAGTGTGGGTTCAACCCATATGTTTGGAACAATGCATACGATCAGTGCTCTATGATTCAACGCGATACGATTCTGTTCAGTCTGTCATTGTATTTTAAGTTGAATGAATTATTTATTGTATATTTGCATAAGTCAATAGAATGATAGTCATGAGTTATTGAAACCAAAGGATGAGTAACGTGTGATGTACAAATAAGTGATGAATGATATGAATGTTAATAATGTGAGTTACGAGTTATGATAATGTATGAGTATATGCTATGTTATACATAATTATTGCACAAACATAAACTTACTCATAATCATACCAATGAAGGATTTTGTGGAATGAAATAAATACAAAGAAGTTAGAGACACGTTGATATGAACCAAAGTATCAATCATGCAATATAAACTTCCAGAAAAATGTGAACAATTTTTTTTTTCAAATTTTCATATGACGTTGCAATTTATGCCATATTAGAGAAGAATCCAACTTTTGGATGGTTATAAAATTTGGGTGGATGGTAACCTATAGTTACGGTGTTTCCATATTGTATTTTAAAATTTTATTTACTCTAAGATTACATTTATACCGAGACTAAATATTGTTACAAAGTAGGAAGGTTGCCACTCTTTAAATGACTTGTCAAAGATTAGGAGTTTTCATTTGGAGACTATTCTGAAATATGCATTAAAAAAAGCATTTGTGCATTATTTATTTATTTATTTATTATTTTTTTTTTTTTTTGCAATTCTATACAATTTAGGTCACATGCTTAGAATCATTCAAGCTTGAGATGATCAATCATGCTCGGTTCGAACCTCAAACTACTATTTTTTTAAGATATTCAATGAATAAGGTAATCTGAATCTTATTTTTAGTTAAGATGATTCCTTTATCGTTTTGAGATTCTTGGATATATTTAAATCAAATTTTCAAGAGTTGCAATCATTTGAAATGAAATGAAATTAATTTAAGATTTTCTTTTTGCATATGTGCACCAAGAGTTTGCATATCCATACACTTAATTCGTTTCAATTGGCTAGTGTTTCCCTTCCTACCACATACTGCATTTATTTACGTTTTTTTTATCGAAACAATTGAGCCACTTATTGATTATTTTTAAATATTCAACTTTTTTCAAACATTTTAAGATAAAAGTAAGAGGTTCGAGAATGGTTGAGGTGTACTAGAAGCCATGGGACCATTCGTTTTAGGTAGCTTCCACATTTTAATTATTTGTATGATAAAATTAATAGAAAACTCCAATAAGAATATAAGTAGAAAGTGATAGGTTTGTGGGGGAGAGGAAATTTTAGGGTTGAATAGTAGAAACATGAACAGCTGTGTGTGTGGGGTACCATTTTGAATCACCCAAAAATAAATAAATAAATAAATAAGAAAAAGATTCGGATGCTTCAAAACTAGAAAAGAGGAAAAAGAAAGTTTGACCATAAAAAATGGTAACAAAAATATAATGAAAAAGTAACAGAAACATTAATTAATTATTTATAAAAATAAAGAAGAGCATAGTTAGGTGAGTTATTAGGAAACAACATTCCAAGTTGTGTAAATCTCTGACTTAAACCTCTTCCAACCCATTGACCTAGCTACTCATATTTTTCCATTTAATAGGGCCCTAAGCTAGCTGTGTTTTGGCTACAACTTGAGATTATACTAATATTTCTCATCATCAACAACCCATATCTCTTCCTAATATATAAAAATTACCTACTCTTAAATTCAAACACACGTGATTCTGAAAAGAAAAAAAACCCTAATTTTTTTATCGAAATAGACCCGCTACCATGTGTATGATTTAAGGTTTTTATGTAAAAACATTCATTTAAAATAATTCATGAAACCATGTAATGAATTTATACGTTTCCATTAAAAGCCTTAAAATAAAACCAAAGAAAAGATTAAAACGATGCCTTAAACTAACTTAAGATCTACAAAATAAAATACAGTTACCCTAACATAAGTTTCATGGTCTTTAACCCAACGTAGTCGTCAACCTTACATGGGTGTCTTGCCTTTACCTAAAATATAAGAATAGTACAATACTTTGAGTATTTTAAGAAATATCCAGTAGTTGACTCCACTGTTGGAGTTAGAGAATGCTGAAATATAAGAGTAGTACAAGACGTTAGTATTTTAAAAAATATCGAGTAGGTGACCCTACTATTGGAGTTAGGAAATGCAAAAAATGCGATATGAATGAGCCCTGTCATTTAAAATCGTATTCTCTTAGGTGGTTTTCAGCCTGGACAAGTTGGGTGTGTAATACTTCTCTATACACGACCCACACGTGTGAGCATGGACCTAGCAGACGGGCTCGCACACCCCTTGGGCGTACTAGTCAGGGCTAACTTCTTTGGACTGTAGCCAGACACCCCAAGGTACGACGATGTACAACAATCGTCGTGCACCATGTCAAGCATGATGGTCATTTCAGTCTCATAGCGTACTCTGTGCTCATCATAAAGAGAGTATTCTGATGCATGTGAACATACAATTATGCATAAGGTCTCCATACACTTTCTATCATAAATAAATCATGCAAGACAACTACATATATTCTTCATATATTACACTAAAAAATATACATTAGGTGATCTCATAAGTCATTTCATTTATAACATAACTTTCAAATCGTAGTTTAAGACTTGTCCAATGATTGAGGGTAAATAAATATCTAATCTAGGTATTCTATTTCCAAATTGAGTTTGTTGTTTCGTATTTAAAATTCTTAAAATTAAAAATAATGTGTGTTAGTTTCCTAAGATTTTAATGGAATCTTTCAAATTGAAAATTATAATTGAATTCTATTAACTTTATCTATAATAAAAAGTTTCATTAATTTTTTTATTATTCTAAAAGTAATAAGTACATATTTATAATTTGCTTATATAATTAATTAACAAATTCTAAATTTTTTTAATTTAGATTTAATATTTATTAAATGTCTAATAAATACAATGTCTATTATCCTATTTTTATTAGATACTATAATTGTATAATATGTTTGAGCAAATTACTTATAAAAATATTATTTTCATACAAACATTCAACACTTTCTAAATCTTTTCTTTGGTTCACATTTTTTCTTTGTTTTTTTTAATTCGGTTCACAACTACTTTTGACTTTTGGTTTATTTTAACCAATTCTTTTTTCTTTTTTTCTTTTTCTTTTTTAATTTTAATTATGTCTATTCATTCCTGATATATTTTTAATCGATTTTAATTGGTTTACTTTTTTTTTTTTCTAAAAAAATGTTAGATCTGATTTACTTGTTCCAACCTAGTTTACTGGTGGAGGAACAAGTAAATTGTTTGTATTTAATGTCTAATTAATATAAATAATTACAACAAATTTAAGATAAAATATAAATACAATTGAAATTGAATTGTAAATTTAAATTTAATGGGTTGAAATAAATAAATGTATGTTTCACGAACTACCCTATAGCTTTGATTAAAAAAAATAAACATTTAAAAATGAACCGAACCACTTAAAAATTTTATAGTTGGATTAGATACATTATTTTTAAGTTGGATTAGATACATTATTTGCTTGAGTTAAAAAAATTTACGACAAACTCAACTCAGAACCCTCCTAAGAAATGAGTGGTATATGTATATATACACACACATATGAGAGAGAGAAGTATCCCTAAGCATGCATGGTAATACGAAACCCAAGCTTCAAGTTTTGTCCAAAGGTATACTTTATTGAATTGAAGACTATATGGAATCAAAGAAGACATCTTCTTTACCCTAAAAAAAAAAAAAAAAAAAAAAAAAAAA